CTGTTTATTTCATGGACACAGAAAGGTGTCTCTGGTTTAAAGGTACCTCCTGTTGTTCCAGCACTCCTGTAATACTGGCTGACTTCACCAGGAATTTGGAGATATATAAGGAGTGTGGGATCTGGTCTACACAATCCAGGATAGGTGGGAAGAGGGCATTTGGAGGTGAAACAGTTATCTTAAATACAGGAATAATTTCAAAGCACGATCTCAGACCTTCTCATATCAGTTGCAATTAACAGGTGTCTTTTTAAGCCTAGAGACTCCTTTTGTATTTCTGTATTTCTCAAAGCCTGAATCAGTTTAGTTACAGCTCCGTTCTTCCCTTTTTGCTACATGTACAGCCTCTACACTGCCCGCCCTCCCTCCTCTGCTCAATCCTGCCTTGGCCAGAACCTTCTAGCTTTTTCCCCATGTCCTCCTCCAGTCCTGCAGACAGCAGCACCCCAAAACACAGCACTGTGCCATGATCATGCATCTTCTCCGCTTGTTTGTTTCACGTAAGCTCCATCTGCTGGTTAAAACTAGAATCTGTGGGGTTTCCACTAGGAGCTGCAAATGCTCCTTTTTCCTCAATTTGAAACGATGTTCAAAATTATCTGTTTGTGCTCTCCCAGTCGTGTTCTCCCCGTCTGCCTGCACGTCAAATTTAATTAATGACAACCTAATGTGCTATTTTGTATTGCTAATTTGGGTCGAGCCTATGCAATCTTTTAAAATACCCCCCCCCCCCTTTTTTTTTTTACTAGCATTTGAGCAGCTAATTATCCTTGGATCTGGAATGACTGTTTACAGCACGTTATTACTGTCAAGGCAGTCTCTGAGTAGCTTTTCACTGCATTGTTTGAAAGGCACCCAAGGCAGATTGTTTCTGTGCTGTCGCTAACGCGCAGCCATTGCCGCTTGGGTTTGGAGCATTAACAGACAGGAGTGAACTTGTGACCTGGACGTACAGACAGAGCAAGTCTGTACTCCAGCGACCACTTGAACTTTTACCTTTGGGTTTTAACATTTACAGAGCAACAGGCTTCAGGATCCCACAGGTCTCTCCTAAAACTCTGTGGTGATGAATGGGAGTATTTTTAAAAGAACTACTAATAATCTGTTGTGTTGTTTGTTTTTTTTTCCCCTTGAGTGGAAACTTAATGCAACTTGCTACACAGTAATGTCTTCCCCCCCCTTCAGATTTACACTAACAGCGGTGAATAAAGATGAGGTTAATCCCACATTGTTAAACCTATTCAAGGAGACAACCTGGGGATTGCCATGGAAACAGATTCGACAGACTAAAAGCATAATCCTGCTTTTAAATACTGTATATGGACCCTGGACCACAACGTAGCTTAGAGAATCACTCTGTGTTAACAAACATGATGCTGCAGCACAGAAAATGGCAAACTCATCTCCTGTCTCATCAAACACGAATTATGCCCCATCTCCTCCCACTTACAGCCCAGAGCATCAGGCATTGCACCTCCTTCCTCTCCACCCCCTGTGCCTTATCTCACCCAGACAACAGGGAATGGAGGCCGTTTGTGTACTGAGTGTGGTGGTTCTGGCAGAAGTGCCATGCATCTGGTAATGTTACACAGCCACTTTCACAAGCTATAGGGCAACTAACTGGCCCTGTGGCTGAAGCTGGGAGTAAGGGTCCTGTTATCCATCCTCCAAAAAAAATCAACAGGATTTAGGAAGTACTTCCTGGGACATGTCCTCAGGGAAGGGGTAACAACCATGGTGAGCATGGAGGGATGCCCCCTCCAACTGTGCAGGTCACAAAGGAATCCCACTCCCCATATGCATCTGCCTACCACCCTTGAGAGCTCGTTAGATGGTGAAGAAGGAAGGGACAACAGCAGATCTGAATTTCATGCAACTATTTAATCGTCTGTGCCATGAAATAGAGATTTTCTGAAAGAGAACACTGCACACATAGCTAGCTACCTTATAGTTTTGCTCCCTGTTCATACTGACATTTGCCCCTCAGTTTCTAGACAGATCTAGAGGAGGGGGGGAGGAGTTGGAACTAGATGATCTTTAAGGTCTCTTCCAACACAAACCATTCTGTGATACCATGATCTCTAAACTTCCTCAATGAATTATAGGTTCCGCTGCTCCTTTTTCATGTCTGTGCAAGTAATGCACTGATGCAGGCATATCCTGTGCTTTTATAGGTCTTACTCACATACCTCTTTTAGACAAGAAAAACATTCTTGCCTTTTTCATAGCACTGGGCTGTGCTCATGTGTCAATAAAATACATGTTTCAGTATTTCCACAGCCTATGGCAGACACCGCAATTTCCTGTTGGAGTTTGCTTTGTAATTGTTTGGACAATTCTCACCTAGTATTGAACTTTTTATGTTCAATACTAAATAATAATCTTGTTTTTTTTTTTTTAAAAAAAAGCTTATTTTAATCATTCTCAGATCCTTATTAAATCCATCTAAAAGAAGGGATTTGTATGTCTTCCTTTCAGTCCTGCTAGAAAGCACATTTTTCAGTAAGATGGCTAACAACATTTCCAAAGACATGGTTGCTTTAAGAACCAGGTCTAAAATGGCCATAGCAGCTTAAGTTAATTGTGTGTATTGTGTTTTATCCTGGGGATGAGTGTTTTCTTTGTGAACTCACAGGCTGTTGGTGTGGATGGTGTGAAAGATGTGTTTTGTTACAACAAATGACTTGCATGCAAGGTCTGTGTAATACCCACAGTCACTAGGCCATTTCAGGAGACATCTGCACAACTACTTGAAAATTATTAATACTTTGGTTTTTCTTAAGCAAATGCTTGATAAAAGTAAAAGTCAATTTGTATTTTGGAACTGTATCCGTTTAGGAAATATTCACAGAGTGTATTATCATTCCTTTTCATATATGGTAGGAAACCATGTAACTTCCCAGGTATAAACAAATCTGGAACAAAAGACTGTACAAAAACATAACGGATTCAGCTCTGAAAAGGCTCATGCATCTACATTGTCTGCTACCCTGAATACTAATGAATTTAATGAAACTATTGAAAGACTGGTTACTTGTCTGCATAAATGTATTGAGACCTCTGTAATCATCTGTTTGCTGTCTGAAATCTCTTGTCAATAGTTTAATGACTTCAGAGCATATTATTCTTCTTGTATAGGCTTCATATAATGTTTCTACATAATTAAGCAGCTTTGTTAGAGGAACTGCCATTAGTTGCCCCATTTCATTTGGTTTTGTTATCAGCCAACCAGAAAGAAAAAAAGAATAACAAGAGAAGGCTACAAATCCAGTCTAGTGAGAGAAATGTGTAATTGGGAAGATTTCTTTGTTGTTGTTGTTTGCTTTTTTTCTGTTAAGATTGCCATATTAAAGCACCATTGTTAAGCTCCACATCTGAAGTAATTTTAACCATTTAAATGCACTGCGTATTGAAATACTCAGAAAGCAAGCAACCGGCTAAATATCTTGCAATGCATATGGGTGCCTTAACATTAAGGGTAGATCTGATAATAAGTACATAATAATGCCAGTTAATTTTAAATAGTCACTAAATTTAAGCAACATTCATGTTTCTGTAGCTAACACAGTCATAAGATGTGAGAAAAGGGTGTCCTGTTTTTTAAGATCTGGTCAATCAAATATTCCATCTTCACATTCTTTTGAGTTAAAAATATTAATATAAATCTAATCAATTTTTTCATCCTTAGGAGAAACCCTATTTTCTTCAAATATATAAAATAACCTTAACATACCACTAATTAATTTCCTGCATTTGCCAAGTCTCAAGCATGAAAGAATGACTGCACACACTTTTACTCTTTCCTGCTAAGCGATGCTGTTTCACTCATGTTTTGGGTGAAACCTGAAGCTTCTGCAACCCTTTACACATAAAGTTAAACAGTACGTATTTTCTTCGGGGCTTATGCGGGTGTGTAGGTGAACAAACCCTGACATTATAAATAGTGTGTGAAAGATAAGAGGTAGAAACCATGACACCCTTGTCACTTCTGAGCCCTGTCCTTGAGGCAGCCATCTTGTTCATGGGGTGTCAGCCATCTTGTTGAGAACAGCTCCAGGAGCTTCGCCTTCACCTTTTAAGAACAAGGCAGGCATTAACACCCAAACCTCACATACATAGCTGTTTCAGTAGCATCAGATTAACTTGCCGTTTCTGCTTATGTCCTGCATGGGTCTATACAGTTAAAAAATAAATGAATGCTACTATTTAATACTGTATTAACAGTACTGAAATATTTGATGAAAGATTCTAACGCTGGTATTTGAAGAATAATGTGCTACCTGTGGCCAAACTATTAACCAGCACTAGCTGACTCATGCATGTAATATTTTCTATCAAAAAACCTTAGCTCCACAGGAAAGGTATTTCTGGTGTCACATCTCAAGATTCACAAGCAATGCCCATTTATGCAGTGAAAGAACTGCAGCTAAGCAGTATTTAACACCAGTATAAATGCCAGATTTTGTCCCAAAACGTGAAGGAACGTTGCTGCACACACGGTTTTCTAACAGCGCACGGTACTTAGGGTCACCGTTACGTGCTCATTGGGCTCCCCGGCTGAGGACAGCTTCATGAGGTACCAGCGCCCTCCCTCCGGCAGCGACCCCTCAGCGCACACGGCCTGCGTGACCTTCTGGGCGCAGCGGGGGATAAGCGTGCTGCGATACATGGCCCCCAAGGCTAAACAAACCCCGTACTGCTCCCGGCGCCACTCGGGCGGCTTTGCCATAGCCTCAGTCTCCGATAAGCTGCCCGCCGGCTGCCAGAGAGGAGAAGCGCTGACCGGTCCGCCGCGCCTGCGGGAGGACTACATCTCCCGGCATGCACAGCGTCCCGCCGGCGCCATCCATGGACACAAGTCCCGGCATGCCGAGTGCCCCGCGCCTCCGGCCGCTTACCGTGCACCCCGAGGACTACACTTCCCGGCGTGCCCCGCGCGGCGGGCGGGGCTATGCAAACGCTGCCGGTGGCCGGGGCCCGGCTTTGCTGCGCGTGTGGGGATCGGCGCGCTGGGCCCGGGCGGCGGGGCATGAGCAGGCCGCCAGCCCGCCGCTGCTAAGATGGCGTCCATGCTGCTGCAGACCTGCGGCCGGCGGGCCTGCCGCCTGCCCCGAGCGCTGCGCCGCCAGCCGCAGCTGGGTGAGCCTCCCCGGGGGCCATGCGGCAGCCAGGCCCTGGGGTGGGGTGCGGCGCGGCAAGGCTGCGCTGCCGGCCGGCCTGCCGGGCCTCTGCGACGCTGAAGGCCTCGGGGGAGGGGGAGGCGGGGACGGCTGAGGGTTCCCGGTATGGGCGGGGAGGTGTTTGCGGGAGGTCCTCGCTGTTCCGTTCACCGGCGAGCCGGGGCTGGGCACGGCGCTTCTGGCGGGGCCCTCGCTCCCGGATGCTGTGGGCGAGGTCGTCTCTTAACGCTCACCTCCGAGCCGGGGCGGTTTGAGGGATGCTCTCTAACGGCAGTGAGGACACATGAGTCTTTCCAATGCCGGCTGGCAAGGAAGTCAAAGAACATGTGTTTTTCATTAAGGCGCAGGAGCACGTTATTGCGCTTAGCTCCTGCCTGCCTTGTTCTCAGTGTAGCTTGGCTGTGAAGTGATGTTGTCACCAGGTACACGCTTCTCGTTGCCCTTTAAGAAAGTACAGGAGGTTATTTTCTTAGTCCGTATTAGGAAGGAAATGTGGATTTGCCTTTTTCCAAGTGGCTTTGAAAGCTTGGGGAAATAAAAAGGGACTGCAGTGTGTGGTACGGTTCCTAGTAATAATCGAGGTAACTTGGCGGTTTAAATACTTTTTGGCGGTGAAGTTTAATGACATGAAGCAGGTGACAGCTTGTGACGTACGTGGGGCCTGTGGTTGCTCTTTATGTCCCTGAGCTGGAATGGCCGGGGTTTAGTGAGGGGTGAGTGAAAGCTTAGGGCAGCTAGTGGTTTGTCACTGACACTGACGTGCTGTCAGTGAGAACAGCCCATCTGCACGTTCAGGTTCTGGCAAACCTGATCGAGCATATAGATCCTTGTTCATTTATGAGAAACAAGCTAGCTTCTTGCTTACCAGTAGTCACTCAAGAGTGGTAGCTTCCTCTACTTGGTGTTTATTTTAGCCACTGTTGTAAAGGCATTTATTTAGGTTAAGCTTGTCCTGTGATCTGAACAAAACCTCCGGGTATTTTAGCTGTCTAGTTCATTTAAAATGAGGGAAGAAATACATGCATGTACCTTCAAATTAGATGGGAGCTTTGATTGTCTTGAGGCATGGCATAAGAAGAAATGCTGATGATCACTACAAATATGCATGCTATAGATCTCGTGTGAAAATTCTCATTTGCTGAAATACTGCAGTAGAATCAAATAATCTGTGTGGGGTGATGCACTGCGCTTCTAATACAATTAATGCTTTTATTTAGAGTGTTAAGTATTAACACCTTATGGTGTAATGCTTTGTTTAGTGTTTTGCTTTACTTATCTTCTTTGCTTTCCGTGTAAGTAGTCTAAGATTAAGTTAAGGCTAAGTGCTTCTAAGAATCCCAACTGTTCTTCCCGTAAAGATCAGGCTGCAAGCTTATACTTGTGTAGGGACTTACTTTGTGTTAGCCTTTTATTTTTAAAAACTCTAAACATAGTAACACTACACAGCTATTCTGCACTTAAAACTTTGGGGTTGATGTTTCCTTATATTTAAAACCTAAGCTTCTCATTACTTTCTTTTTTTCCAGGAATATGTTAACATACAGGTTTTCTGACACTACTGCCTTTCTTACTCAAACCAAGTAATCCTAATGCAGGTGTCTTTAACAGTGTTGAGTATGGTAAGCTACTCACCTTGCTCAGACACTTCTGTATTATCCTAGAAGCAAGGAGTATGGACTTTGCTCCTTTCTGAAAAAAGTATAGATTTTGTTTCAGGGCTGGCTCATTCTTAGGTACGTGGTTAGAACAGTTAGAACTGCAAAGCATAAAGAGCTCTTGTTGGCAGGAACCTGAAGTTGACAATTCTGCTCATCCTTTTGGTGACATGATGTTTCTGTGTGCCTGCTCACACTCTGCATGGCTGTGTGACAACAGGGGTTTGAGTCAGAGTGTTTTCTTGTGGTGACTTTGGAATTCTGTTCTTTGGCCCTTTCCTTGGAATTAAAGAGTCTGGTTGGAGAAGAAAACTAAAAAAAGTGACAGTGTCTTTGTTTTGGAGTTCTGTCTGAAAACTTCAAGCCAGTTTTGATCCCCAGGTCACCCTCTTTGTTCCAGGGACACCTTTCCATAGCAGGTAATGTCCCCTACTAGTGGGGCTTGTTTTTGGCACGCAGGTTTTGTATGCTTCCTGACACTCGGGTGAGAAGAACAGATTCTCATGCTGCAACTTATCCCTCAAGATTGAGTTCTTCTCTGCTTTACTCAGCTGTTCTTAGAGCCAGACACATCCTGCTGAGACGGGAAGCCTCTTAGGTCAAGGAATTCAGCTGCTGGTCTTCCTGTAAATATTGGAGAGTATCCGCTCACAAATTCATGAGGCTTGATTTTTGAGCAAGGAAGAGGCAGTTTTTCCCCTGACTCTGCTTGCAGTGGCAGTGAGTACCTGTTAGAGTTGGATATAAGTAGACATGGGTAAATCCTTTTCCTATGGCACTGTCAAGTCAAAGCTTTTGCTTTAATGGCATCAAAGCCCACTTAGCATGGAACATCCCTCGAGTGTTGAAATTCTTTAATAAGTTCACTTATTCCCCCCACTTTTCTATACCTTCTGGTTGCCTCACCTGATTTTGCAGCTTTCTCTTTTCCTCTAGTAATTAAGGCGTTTTGTTAGAGAAGGCTTTCAGTGACCAGCGTTGAGTGCTGTGTTTTCTCAGATGCAGTTGTCTGATTCAGGGTCTATCATAGGCTTTGTCTCTGATAGTGGAAAAACTGACCACTAACCTCTAAAATGACCTTTCTATCCTGCTGTCTCTTAGGATTGACCAGAAATGGTAGGTTCCACATGGGAGGAACAAGCCACAGTGGGTCTACTCCATCCAGCCTTCCATTTTTGTTTTGTTAACAGTGAATTCTGAAAAGATTGACCAAAAAGAGCCAATGCATTTAGTCTTGCTTGATCTTCCTTTGTGCTGTCCAGCAGTCTTTCTGCACTTGGTGTCGGGCAGCTATTGAGTTGTTGCAGCTAGCTATTTATGGCCCATGGCAGGGGGGTTGGTGATGAGGTCTTTTCCAACCCTCACTATTTTATGATTCTATGATACAAGAGTATTATTATTATTTTAAGTTGCTTTAGGGAGATTGGTTCTTTTATGAGGGTCTCAGAGATGGATTTTGGTGATTGTAGATGGCATAAAGCCACTAGGAAGCATTTTATGATCTGATGGTACTTCCAGGGTGTTGGATGTTTGTAAGGCTTTCAAGCATGGCCCTTTATTGAAGCATGTGAACTGACTTAGATAATTTATCATTTGATTGTCTCCACAGTTTATTTCCAGACTAGATGCTGCTTGTCTCTGTACCTGGATGGAGGATGCCAATGTATGGATGTCATTCCTCCTTGAGGACTCTTATTAAAATTCATTTTGAGGAACGTAGTTCCTTTCATAGTCTTCAGTTCTGTCTCTTGCCCTTCAGGACCATTTTATATCCTTTGCAGACAGATGCAGGGGCAGAGCTATTTTTACCAGGTGCTAATCAAAATGGACAGCAATACATTGAAGTGGTTGCGGTTCCACCTCTCGTGAGGCCTGTTTAGGTTCCTTTTCATGTTTTATTTGTTCTCTTGCTTTAAAGAAAACCAAACATTTCATCCTAGACGCTTGGCAAGTGCTCCATTTGGATGGTGTAATTCTGTCTTGTCATGGAGCCATTAAAAAAATTACCTGTGCTTTCACTGAAGTTCTTTTGTAATATAGTTGCTTATCTGAGGGACTTACAAACCTGTCTTCAGGCAGTAGTTCAAGTGCAGGCAGTGTCCTCATGCCCACACAGAGTTCAGCTGTGTGTATGGACAGTTTGCTTTAATGCTGATGGAGGTGTCAGCTGCCTTACAGAATTGCGTCCCTCCTGTTGTCGCTTTCTCTATCCTATGAATTGGGATTACAGATTGAGAGAAATAGAAGAACAAGACTTGTGCTTTGACTTTTAGGTGAGGTATTTGGGCTTCAGTACTTGGTTATTGTCAAAGCAAGAATAATTTCAGTCTTGGTTGTTTGTGATGTACAGTCATCCAAAGTGTGAAGGTGCTCAGAAGGAGTGCACCTTAAGGTAGCTGCTGTTAAGAAGCATCTTTTTTGTGCTTTTAGTAGAGCCATTCCTAAAATAGAAAGTCACAGAAGGCAAAGGCAGGAAGAGTAAAGAACTACCTGCTGTAGGAGATCAGTTTCAAGGCTATCTAAGGAAACTGAAGGTGCACAAGTCTGTGGGACCTGATGAGATGCATCCATAGGTCCTGAGGGAATTGGGAGATGAAGCTACGAAGCCATTATCCATCATATTTGAGAAGCAGAGGCAGCCCAGTGTAGTTCCTGCTGGAAAAGGGAAAACATAACACTCATTTTTGAAAAGGGGAAAAAGGAAGACCTGGAGAATTACAGTGTCACCTCCGTGCCTGGCAAGATCATGAATCACATCCTTCTGGAGACTATGCTAAGGCACGTGGAAAATAAAGAGGTGATTTGTGACAGCTAGCATGGCTTCACTAAGGGCAAATTGTGCCTGACATTTGGTGGCCTTCTATGGCAAGGTTACAGCATTGGTGGATAAGGGAAGAGTGGCTCATGTCATCTACCTGGACTTGTGCAACGCATGTGAGCCCGTCCTGCATAACGTCCTTGTCTCTAACTTGGAGAGACATGGATTTGATGGATGGACCACTCAGTGGATAAAGAATTGGCTGGATGCTCGCACTCAAAGAGTTTCGGTCAACAGCTCAATGTCCATGTGGAGATCAGTGTTGAGTGACTTTGGGTGCTGGTTGACAAGAAGTTCAACATGACCCCGCAGCCCTCAACATGCGTACAGCCCAGAAACCAACCGTGTCCTGGGCTGCATCAAAAGAAGTGTGACCAGCAGGTCAAAGGAGGGGATTCTCCCCCTCTACTCTGCTTCTGTGAGACCCCACTTGCAGTACTGCATTCAGCTTGGGGGCCGCCAGCATAAGAAGGACATGGACTTGTTGGAGCAAGTCCAGAAGAGGCCACAAAGATGCTGTGAGGGCTGGAGCACCTCTGCTGTGAAGACAGAGAGCTGGAGTTGTTCAGCCTGGAAAATACAAGGCTCTTGGAAGAACTTCTGATAGCCTTCCAGTACCTAAAGGGGCTGACAAGAAATCCAGAGAGGGACTTTGGACAAGGGCTTGTAGGGACAGGACAAGGGGGAATGACTCCAAGATGACAGAGGGGAGACTGAGATTAGATGCAGGGAAGAAGTTCTTCCCTGTGAGGGTGGTGAGGTGCTGGCACAGGGTGCCCAGAGAAGCTGTGGCTGCCCCATCCCTGGCAATGTTCAAGGCCAGGTTGGACAGGGCTAGGAGCAATCTGCCCTAGTGGAAGGTGTCCCTGCCCATGGCAGGGGTTGGAACTGGATGAGCTTTAAGGTCCCTTCCAGCCCAAACCATTCTAGGACTCTAAGTCTGTCTTTTGCATCTCATATTTGTGTACAATTAACTACATGGATAAATGTCTTCCTGAATTTCTGAATTACTGCTAATTATTGGTATTTTTCTAGGTAACTTGGGAGATCGGGCATGTCTCAGCTGCACGTCCCTGAGGCTGGCAAAAAATATGTGAGTAAAGATGATTTTTTCCTAAACGCAGAACTCTACAAAACTCTCAGTTAGTTATGCTATCAGAGAATGTGGGTTTAAGTCTTCTAGACAAAGTGCGAAAATACTAACTTCAGCTTGTGTTAGTGACAGATCAAAGGCAGTCTGAATATCATGCTCTTCACCTGCTTGGGTGTGTGTAGGAGAGAGTGAGATCTTCATTCCTTTCACCCACTTCCTCCCTTTTTGTTTCACTCGTGATGTGACAGCAATTGAATATTAATCTTGTTCTTGAGTGATTCCAGGTGGCCCTACAGGATGCCATAGGCGTACTTCCTCTGTGGAGTTCCAAAGAGTAAACATCAGTCACAGCTAGTTTGAAGAATATAATTAACAGTTAGGAATGTAGGTTGTTTGGGTTGCATCTTCATTACACCAGAGTAGTTTGCTGTATGGTACAGCATTGAGTGAGTCTCTTGTAGGAGATTGTGTCCTCCTCTGAAAACAAATCCTGCCTCTGTGTGCTGTTGATGGAACTTAAGGAGTTGGATGTTGGTGGGATCCATTCCCTGTTCCTGCCTTGGCTCACAGTGCATATTTGCGGATACAAATTTTCTAACGCCTTTCCTTGGAATGTTAAAATATGTATTCTGTAGTTTATTTACAGTCTAACTGCTCAGGAAACAGTGACTGTTCTCAATTTCCTAGGTTTCCATTTTGACATGAGGATGTGTCATGTTAGTTTTGTATCACTTACTGTATAATGAGTTATGAGAGGGTTTTTAATCCATAAAGCATTTTCAATCTCTGTTTGCTTTTTAGCAGATTACTGTATGAAGCTTCTCTGTTGGATAATCAGAAACTTGTGGTTTGAAGTCTGTTATATGAGCAGCAGAATATAGGGAAAGAAATTCTTGTTGTTATTTTGAGAATTTGGTTGGGCTTTTTACCAAAAGCTGCTGATGTTGCTGCTCAGAATAAAGCAAACTAGTGCATATACCTCATGTGACAGTTTCAAAATCAAGGGACTCTAATGATACAAGTGCTGAGGACAGTTTGGGATAGAAGTTCTGTGTCTGAGTAGTTAAAGTCTGTTCAGAGAGGCACGTTTCCTGTGAAGGTCTGTTTCCCTGCAGCCTCGGAACCAGTTCTGCAGGCAGAGCTCCCTTCCTCTCTGCGTGCAGAACAATGTAGTTGTATGCAAGTGGAACTTGGTCTGTAGGCCTGGAGCCCTGCTTTTGGGAAATGGCTTAAGAGTCAGGATGGACTCATTTATGCAAGCGTTTTAATCTGGTTTTGAATATGGACTTTATTTTCTTAAAGGAACTGTGATTTTCATTAGTTAATATCTGTGCAAGTGTGCAGGTTTCCAGTTAAGCCGGAAGATTCAATGGTCAGGTGACTGTGTTTCAGCAGTTGTCTGGCATTGAATGGGCAGATGCTTAAACTTTTAGTTTAACCTAGAAAATAATGTCTTTAAAAAGTAATAATTTAATATTTTCTTTATACAAAGCTGTCTTTAGCATTAAATAGCCAAAACCATTAAAATCATTTAAACCTTGTTGGATGTATGTGATAATGAAGTTTAAAAAGTGCTAGCTGAAAATAGAATTGAGAGAAGCTAATACTTGTAAGTGTTCAATAAACTATTTGTTTCCTTAAAGTGTGACTCAGAGCTGTAGAGCCACTTGCACTTACTTGCAGTTCCTTGACTGAAGGCAGATTTTGTTCTGGTAGGGTTCCGTGAAGAAGCACCTCAGTCATTTCTGTCCTGTAGGCAGCCCGATATTGGCATTTCAGTTTGTGGGACACCTAATGGAACTCTTTTATAGGAAATATTTTAGTTACTGTTACAATCCTACTTTCATATAATAAGTAGTTCTCGGTGTATAATGAGGGTTTGGGGTGTTTGAATAGTGCTTCCCTGCTAACCTCAGTTTACATTTAGTTAAAGAACTACATTCTGACTACGGTAGAAGAGTGTTCTCTGTGCCCCAGCTCAGTACCATGATGGAATCTTAGGCAAAAATTACTGTTGTAAAAGGAAAACTAGGCACATGGAAATAGTAAAAGAGGAACTCTAATGAAATCTCATTTCTCTGATAGTAAATACCTTCCTATACCTCAGCACTTATCCCAGGTCTACAAGTTCTATTTTTTTTCTCAGGTGTTTTGCTCAAACATAAGAAGTAATAGAAGGGGCTTTCTTACTATGGATTTATAGATGTATATTCAAATGTGGCTTTCTAAATGGAAAGCATTTCTGGTTGCTGCTCTTTATTGGAGTAAGATAAGCTACCTTGTCAAAGCTGTTTAATGGAAAATTCCCTTCATAGACTCATAGAATGATTTGGGTTGGAAAGGACTGTAAGATCATCCAGTTCCAACCCCCTGCAATGGGCGAGGGGGACTCCTTACCCTAGATCATGTCTCCCAAGGCTCTGTCATGAAGTAAAGCCAAGTGTTCTTTTTAGGACATAGACGTTGATCTTCAGAGTCACAGATTGTTGGTTTTTTTCCTCAAATATGCAGTAGATATTTCTCAAATGATGCATTTTATAAACACATAAATTCATATAATTGCACAAATACATAGAAATATAGAAATAGCTTATGATCTGTTGCTAATCCTTGAATGCTTTTTTCTTTTGAAGGACTGTACACTTCAAATACTGCACTAGTGTCCCTCCTGTTTACGCCTACTCCAAAAAAGATCGCTACTGTTGTTGGACTAAAGGATCTGAACAAATACACTTTGCTCTTAGGAGCTCTTCTGGCTCATGGACACCACTAGCAACCATGGGTATTTTAGGTCCCCAGTATCTTCCAGTTAGGTGGTGGCATTCTTCCTGTCCCCTTCGAGATGACTCCATAGTAGAAAAGTCACTGAAGTCCTTAAAGGACAAAAACAAGAAGTTGGAAGAAGGCGGTCCTGTATATAGTCCTGCAGAAGTGGAAGTTGTGAAAAAATCTATTGGACAGAGGATTGTGGATGAACTGAAGCACTACTACCATGGTTTTCGATTACTGTGGATTGACACAAAAATAGCTGCAAGGATGCTCTGGAGAATACTTCATGGAAACACTTTGTCTCGTCGAGAACGGAGACAGGTACTGAATAAATACCAATTTTGTTTGAATATCCTTAGCAATTGCTCCATTTTATTTGAGCTGAGTTGGTTCTTTTTGTTGTCATCTGTTCCTAGAATTAAAATTGCTGGGTGCATTTTCCCCTCTTCCTCCCTGTGGACACTAAAAACTTTGGATATGATTCCAAAACATTTTACTCTTGTTCCCCATTACTGAAGATAAATTGGCTATTTTCTGGTTAGAATAGCAGAGGATTCTTCTGTTCTGCCATGTGGACAGCAGCTGTGGTTTGTTCTCAAGTTCCCATCCATGTGCTACATGTGTGTACATGGTCACTTTCTCTGCTTTTTTTGCTCCAGCTGGAAGAAGAGAGGGAAACCGCTTTTTAGTAAAGGTTGGATTTGTGCCAGTTCTGTTGTAGGTGTTTGGGGTTTTTAACAGAAGAATGTCTGCAGCTTGAAATGCGGGATGGATAATCAGACATTAGTACTGTCTCAATTTAAAATAAATTCATGAGGTAGTTTTAGTCCAAAAATGATAATTTGAGGAAAGCTTTGATTTATACTTTTGTTTTTTTTCATGGCATGTAGCTGAAACTGTAAAAATGCAACTGGCAGCTTTAAAGAAAAGGGAAGAGAGGATGGAGATGAGATCTGGAATGCAAAATGAGAGTAAATGAGGATGACATGCATTTCAATAATTTCAGTTTGTGGAAGAAGTAAATACGCTTATTCAGCTAGAATTAAAAGATAGGGGTATTTAAAAACATTCAGTGTCAGCTCTTCTATATGGAAAGAGCACAAAATAATAAGCTGTTTTAAAACTGGTGTAGTTAAACATGATAACTTAATAGTTCTCAATTTACTGTTTTTAAAGGCAAGATGTTTAAGCAGTTTATATAGATAAAATATTCCAGTGCTGGAAATGTTGGAGAGTGAAAAGTGTATGTGCTTTGACACAGTGGTTCTCTGCAGTTTGTGCACTGGACAAACAATGTGTTAGGTTGCCTTCAACATTTTTTGTTAAATAGTCAAAAATAGGAATATTTTCTCATTGTTTTAATAATCTACTGATGGTTTGGTGCATAGCTGAACATTTTAATGTGTAGTTAAAAATCACATCTTAATGCAGCATGCAAAAAAGTGTTTTCTCCTATATTTGCAAGGTTAGCCAAATAACAAGAATGAAATGCACATGTAGCAGTGTTCACATGTGATTACATTTGGTCTCTTTCTACAGCTGAGTGGTGGTATTGGTTCTCAGCATCTTCATGCTGTTTATTTTTGCACTTTTCCTTCTGCTAGTCCAAGAGTATGCTTGGCAGCTGGTCAGCTGAAACATTGCTCAGCAGTAAATATAACAGTCTGTGCTGACGTATGAGGGGGATTATGTAGTGCCAAGAAAGAGTAACTGAGGATAGGGGTGAATGAGGACTGCAGGACTTCTTGAAGTAGCGGTTCTGTCTTGTGCTGGCTTATTGAGAGCTTTGGGAAACTTGGAAAACTGAGTGAGACAAATTGACTCATGGTTGAAAACAGGATCAGAAATCCTCCAGAGAGCAAGACTGGAACCACTTGGTTTTCCTGCCTGTTTCATGTTCACTGAGCCATACTTCTGAGGAATTACATAAACACCACTAAAATATGAATATCATGGAAATACTTCTGCTGAAAGATCAGGACTGTGTTCTAGAAAGCATGAATTAGAAGTAATGCGTTATCTTTGGACACACATGCATTATTCCAGTAGAGGGATTAAATCATTTGCTTGCTCTTTAGTTTTGTCATCTAGTGATGACAGAGCTGTCATATGTTTATGTGATGGTCTGGCATTTGGCCTTCCTGAATTCTCTTTTTTTTGTGCAATTTCAGTATCGATTCCCTTCTTTAAAATAAAATTGAGTTATATCATGCAGGTATAAATCAGTGTTTACATTGATGTAGCCTGTCTCTTATCTAATGATGTAGTGTGTGTATTTGTGTGCAATCCAGTGTAGAAGATGTTGAGGAATTAGCTTTAAGAACTACAGTGATGTTATTTTCTCTAAGTTTTATGTTTTCTTTCTGTGTAGGTAGAGACTGCCCTGTCTCTTGAATGGCTTAGAACCCAGGGTCACTGACAAGCAGACCACCCTAGAACAGAATAAAACCCTTTACATGTGCTTTTTTAAAACCTTATTTTGTTTCAGCACAGCTCATATTTTATCAGGTCAGCCTTCAATTGTAATATACTGCCTAAATTGAAGAAGTCTTAAAACTTTGATGCCAGATTAGCGTTGCAAAAGTTGCTTCTGAATTTTTATATATATATATATATATTTGGAATACGTACTGCTTTAAATGTACTAAAGTGCATATGAACAGACATGCTGGAGAAACCTTATCTTCACACAGACTGACAAAGGAGTTATTTCTGCCTGCCCTTTCCTTCCTCTTTGGAGGCAATAATGGAAAGATATCTAAGTAATCTAACCACATTAACAAGCAATTGCAGTATGGCTAATACAAGAGAGCTAGTGCTTATGTAAACCAAAAGTTAGCTCCAAAATCCAGCTTTTACAATTGCTGGTACGGTTTGGCTTCAGCAGGATCACATATCTATGCTTGGGGGAGAAGGCAGGGAAAAGTACAACATGCAAAATATGATACTGGTGGTTAAAAACTAATTGCTGTAGCGCTGCCTCCCACAGCAGGGTGGTTCAGGGCATGGCAGGGAGATGGCAATCACTGTGGAGTTTGTGGCAAGTACATCAGCTTTACAAACTCTTCAGCCCTGCAGGGGTGGGAAAAATGGAATACAAGAATTGTAGCAGCAGGTACAGAGTAGTCACAAGTTTTTCATGCTGTGCTGCCAGATAATGTGTGTGTAATCATGCACCATTGTATTAGGTTCCTGTGCAAGGCTGTTTTCCTCGAAATAGCAGAGGGTGCAGCTTCATGATTTATGGAAGATGATCCAGGACTGTGCTGCTGCAAAAAAGCCAGTCCTGCTTGGTGCTTAAGTTTTCCAACACCTTAGCTTTTGGTTTGTATTGGTCTTCTTTTGCTTGTTTGTGTAGTGTGTATGTATTTATGAGTTAGTTTTAGTTGAATCAGTGGTGTACCTTCACACTGTGACTGGCAGTGCATGTTCATGACCCTACATGCATTGTCTCAGGTTAGCATTAGGTTAGCTTAATCCAGTCATAAAACTGCTTTCCTGGATGTGGATTTTGCCCTGTACAAATACTTGCACCTCCTGTCTAAAAATAGGTACTGGTTAGAAATATGAACTCTGTGCTCCCCTCTATAGAAATTTTTGAGAAAAATGGACTTGTTCTGACTTAAAATTTTCTTCCAAACTTTCTTACATCTGTTTAAACTCCTTAGTAGTCATTTATCTTCCATGGTTGGAATGAATGGAAATATCTCTGTGCCTGTAAACAATAGACCAAAGCATCCCTTCTGGAAAACTGATTTTTTTTTATATACAAAACAAAATGTCCAACTTTGTATCTGTGGAGTTTGTACATTCCTCAAACAGTACATAGGATTTTGGCTGGTTTTATGCTAAGGAAGCAATGGTTGAAGTTTTACTGGCTTTGCGTTCTAGCAAAGCCACCCTAGCCACATGCAGCCGGTTGTTGCTGCTGTTCCCCTGGATTGGCCTGAGAAAGGGATGGAGGGGATAGATACTAAATATGTATAGGCGTATCGAGTAACCTAATGCATATGTATACCTTAAGAGAATAAATGTAGAGGGAAAAACGACCCTGGGTGGGCATACTTTGGAGGAGCTATCCCCATGCACCTCAGAGCTGAATAAAAGCATACCTACTTTACAACTTTAACGAGTTGTGGAGTCAATCTGTGTATCAGGATGGAGGGGGAAACATTCATTTACTTCTGTAATACCATTTATGCTGCCAGGTTTTGCCAGTCATAGCTGTGTTTAGAAAATGATGATGTTGAACAGCAGTGCTCTGGCAGTAGTGTGCTGACCTTCAGTCTGATTTAGGAACTGACAATATTCCCCATAAGCTGTTATTTGCTTTGTAAAATGAGGCAGAGTCAAACGAAATCTGCACTCCCCAATATAAACCAAGTTATTAAGCTTCCAGTGAGTACTGAAAGATTTGATTATAGCCTTATACATACATTTGTGGGTGTATAGAAATCAAAAGGGCAGTATTTATTTTATGCGCTAAGGATTCAGTAACTAATGCCCTGGCCTGCTTCAGAGGATTACTGCTCTAGAAAAGCAGTGATTTAAAAATAAATGAATCTACCAAGCTGGGCTCATTACCCTGGATTTAAATGTACATTACAATTGTTAGGAGGCAGAGGGGGAGGGATATTTCATTTTATTCTTGATTACTTAGTCCACAGTAGCTCATGCATGTAAGAAGTGGTGGAGCACAAATAAAGATGAATAAAAGAAGTTAAGCAGCTTTAACGACAACAAATGACCACCTCCTGTTTTCAGGTGCTTTTAAGAGGTTTAAATGGGATACTTGTTCAGTAATCCTATTGAGACACAGCCAGGCTTTAGAAATACTTTCTATAGTGTTGAAAACTGGTGAAATTCTGGCGCTCAGCAGTATAGAGCAACACTAAAACCTGACTTTGTCACATCTTTTTTTCTGTGTTACTTTGAATTTCCATTGTAGCAAATATATAGAGTGTAAGTGATAACTTGGATGATCATATCAAGTATTTTTATATAAATATTTAGATTTTGCTTATCAATACATGTATTTTCCTTTTTCTTCCAGTTTCTTCGAATATGTGCCGACTTGTTCCGCTTGGTCCCTTTCCTAGTTTTTCTCGTGGTCCCATTCATGGAATTTTTGCTTCCAGTAGCTCTTAAGTTGTTCCCTAATATGCTTCCCTCTACATTTGAGACAAAGTCTAAAAAGGTAAGCAGGTCTGAATTTAGAATCCAGTAATATGGTTTGGGAAAAATAGACCTTTCCATGATAAAGAAAGAAATAAGAAAAATTCTATAAGTTAGATTTTTCTTCTGTATTAGGGGGATGCTTTTGTCTTCTTTATGTTGTTTTGATGATCTTGCTGTTAACACATAACAACAAGCCAGTGCCATTCTGGTTTACCTGTTTGTATGTGCAGGTGCTTAGGTATCCAAGCTGGAAGCTTCTCTTGGTTTTTTGCTCTCCTCATCGCCGTCTTCTATGACTCTTACAAAGCAGAAATGAAGCTATGAAACTTCATTTTTTTTACTTTGTATTCAAATAGGCAGATTTTGTTTTAATATTTGAGTCCTTGATGCAAACTTTTTGTCTGTGTGCTTAATATTTAAAATAGCTTCTCATGCATTGCTTTGTTTAAATTGTATTTCTTTTAGTTAGTTAGAGATTTGTAAAAACACACCAAAAAGCCCCAAAAGTTCTCACTTTCAGAGCACACAAGACTTGCATGAGGTTTGTTTGTAGCGGGATCCCAGTCAGTCACAGATGTGATCAGTCATGATTGTATACTTGAATCTAAGTAGCCATTCATTTCTAGTTCTGGAATGAATTCCTGAGGTGTATTGTAGTGTTTGTGTGCTGGATGGCAGAGCTGGGAATTACCCAACCAGTTGGTTAGTTTTGTTATTAATTCAGTGGGTGCATGTTGGTTTTAGCAGGTGAGGCCACTTGTTCTGCACTTCTGTTGTTACTGCATCCCATGTTTCATGGAGCTTTGAGCTGATCAGCCTGTTTTTCAGTATGATTTGGGGGTCTTTGGTAAGAGCAAACGTCCTCTTGTGCTGTGTGCTCAGGAGTGCTCTGTATTACTTGTTTGAAGGCAGAAACGGTATTTAGTGCACTTATGTCTGGAAAGAACTTTTAAAACCAAACATTTTCTTTTACAGGAGGAAAGATTGAAGAAAGAATTGAGAGTAAAGCTTGAGTTGGCTAAATTCCTTCAAGACACCATTGAGGAGATGGCCTTAAAAAATAAGGCGGCCAAAGGAAATGTTGCAAAAGATTTTTCAACATTCTTTCAAAAGGTAAAACTTCTTAAAAATATATTTTCTCTTCTTACCAAGAAAACAGCTTGGTTTTGTGGCCTGCGGTAATCATCAGATAGCTTTATTCCATGGGATTTGAAGAACCAGGATGTAATACTTCTTTAGGATAGATTCCTTCTTTGCAAGTAATACTTCAGTGTGCTGAAGTTTTACTGCTCTTAGCTTTGGTATTCTAGCTGGTACTTTCACTCTGTTTCATTCTAGGTACGGTATATTTCTGCTCATTCACTTGTTTCTTACTTCGTTAATAAGCTAATTCTAAGAGAGAAAATACGCATTCAGTGGTTAGTTGTAGTTCTTGACCTCCGTTTTGAACACGGGGTGTAAAAAGTGGGACAGAGGAGTTCTTTCCTGATTAACTGGTTAAAACTTAGTGGGGGAAAAGTAAAATGTTTTTGTCAAATTTAATTCTGCTTATAAAGCCAGTTTTTTAAATGCACAGTTGCTGTAATGCTGAAATCCTTTGGGATGCTGACTAGAACATGGTATAATCTGGAGTTTTCATAGAACGCAAGTGCTGTGTTTGGTGCAGAATTTTTCTATTCACAAGCAGTTGCTGACACAGAAACTGAACGTCATCCCTGAGGAGAAGGACTTGGGGGCTTCAGCTGATGAAAAGCTGAACGTGACCTGTCAATGTGCTGGGCTGAAAGCCACGTGCTGGGCTGCATCAAAAGAAGTGTGACCAGCAGACAGAAGGAGGTGATTCTCCCCCTCTACTCTGCTCTCACGAGACCCCACGTGTAGGACTGTGTTCCGCTCTGGGGCCCCCAACACAAGAGGGGCTGGACCTGCTTGAGTTTGTTCAGAGGAGGATACAAAGATGCTGTGAGGGCTGGAGCAGCTCTGCTCTGGAGACAGGCTGAGAGAGCTGAGCTGGTTCAGCCTGAGAAAATAAGGCTCTGGGGAGACCTTAGAGCAGCTTCCAGTGCCTGAAGGGGCTTACAAGAAATCCAGAGAGGGCATGTAGGGTCAGGACAAGGGGGAATGGCTTAAAACTGGAAGAGGGTAGATTTAGATTACATATTAGGAAGAAATTCTATACTGTGAGGGTGCTGAGGTGCTGGCACAGGTTGCCCAGAGAAGCTGTGGCTGCCCCATCCCTGGCAGTGTTCAAGGCCAGTCTAGACGGGTCTTGGTGCAACCTGATCTAGTGCAAGGTATCCCTGCCCATGGCAGGAGTTTGGAACTGGATGAGCTTTAAGGTCCCTTCCAACCCAACCATTAAATATTCTGTATCTGCCTCCTGCTTTGATGGTCTTTAGGTTTGACTGTGTTCCTTTTCATCAAGCTGTAGGTAATGATAAGGTATTCCTGGAAAGATGAAAGGTACCTTCTTAAATCTTCTCAGGATTGGATTTATTTCAGTCTGCTCACGCTTCTGATTTCTCTGAATTGTGGGGCTGCTGAATAGGAAAGATTGAGTTAACAGCCGTGACCAGGTGCTTTGCTGACAGTAACAGTGTAGTCCCCTCCTTTGGGCAGAGTATGTATTTGCACAGAAAAAGGCACATAAGCCAGGGGATTTCCAGACTTGAACTTTGTAAGTTCTATCAGCTAGCTGGGGCTTTTCCTGCTTGGCAGAGCTGAGAATGAAGTTTTAAAGGGTGGTGTAATAAGGTCATGTCAACAGCAGATAATGATATTGGCAGGTTCTGGCAGTCAGTATGTGCTTGCAAGGTCCATGTACTTTGAAGCTTCTGTGTCTTCATCTGTTTCTGTTCTTTTTCAGCTGCAGGAAATTTTAAATGGTTAGTGATAGCAGTAAGCAGCTGAAGCACTGACACTGCAGAGGCTGGGAGCATGCCACGGCCATGCTTCATGTTTGGAACATTGCATTTTGTTCTGAAAGAACTGCTACTGAAAATTGACATTTGGTGGTTAATTTCCATGGAAAGAAGTGATGTCTCGCTCCACGTTTGATGGAGGAGGTCCTGAGTTCCTCTGACTAAAAAGAAGTTTCAAGTGTGTGGGTGTGCTTTTTACAACTATGTATTTCTCATTCATTGAAACAAACTTTATTGACCTCATTTCACTGTACTAGCTAATGTCAGAGCCAGAAGAACCTTAAATGTTTCCCACCTTTTTGCTATTCTTCTATAGCTGCTTCTGCAGTGAAATATTTGATGCTGCAAGAACCATTGATAGTTATTTCTGTTGGTTCTCATTGACGGCTTAGCCTGTTTGCTGCAGAATTCCATAGTTTGTGTTACTTTGTAGCTAGTGATGTACTAGAAACTTTCTGTTTGTCATCTCAAGAAACATACACTTGGCTCTGCCAAAATTCGGTTTTAAACAAGGAAGAAAATACTTTCCATGTTTTTGAAGTTCTGGTTTTGGCTCTTATAGCAAAGGAGCTGGTGAAGTGCAACAGGGCCTTTGACCTTTCTTTTTCTGATTTGGTTTCTTTGCTACACAAGTATTGTGGAGGTTTACACTCATTCAGTCTTGTCTTCCAAATATGTTCCCTTTTCCTGTACTCAGCAGTTCATGAGGGATTTGAGTTGGCAAGTGAAAGGGGTAGGCATGATAAATGAGGCTGTATAGGTAATGTTAGATTTTCAGACTCTGTGTCACTTAGCTTATGTTTTCTTTATAGGGCTTTAAAGAAGGAAGGGGGCTTGGGGAAGGTGTGGGGTGATTGAGATCTTCGTACTTACTGTAAAGACTGAAGGGGTTAAGTGACTGGAAGTACTTCATTGTTCTGTAGTTTCTGGATTCAGTAATATCACTAATAAGCACTTGATGATGGTACACTTAAAATAGGAAGAAATCAACATTTATACAGGTGATCTGATGAGACCAAGGAATGATCCTTTTTTCTACTTCTTTGAGCAGTTATTTCTGCTTCCAGTATTTGAATTTAGTTACTGTGAAGTGTTATTGGCAGCACACAACTTAAAAGCTTGAGTTTGTACAAGTAGTTTCATATACCTTCCATCAAGAAGGATGTAGAGTCCTTCCCAAATAGTGTTTTATACTTTGGGGTAACTTCAACTACAAGTGCATTTGCACTGGGGTGCTGCAGAACAGTGGGGAACTGAAAGCAAAGCAGTATTGCAACAAACGTGGTTTTGGAGAGGAGGTAGGTAAGTGTCCAGATCTGTGCCTCATAGGGACACCAGCATTGCAGATTTCTAGCCTTTGGATGTATTTCTCACTTTATTTTCACAGGGTGATGCTTTTTATGTGCTTTTGTAATTAGTGAGTTTGGGACCAAAAAGAATACTAGCCAGCGAGACTTCTGTAGCAACTATTTATTCACTCAGATATTATTTTTAAGGTATCTCATGTCGGCACTGACTCAGAGACCTGCTCATCAGTATACAGATACATCTAACTTCTGTTAGTTTTATCTTAAGTATATTATGCAGTGTGGCTGGCAATTATCAATGACATCAATAGTTTTGCCTTTTATAATAAGTCGGTTGTTGTTATAAAATTTCTTCCATGTCTTCCTTGTGTCCTGTTTCTTATCCCCAACGTGATTGACAAATGAGGTGAATATTTTTATTCACAATAATGCCAACAACAGCATTTGCTTTGACAAGCTTTGTGTGTGCTTGTTTTTTCTTACAGATCAGGGAAACTGGTGAACGACCCAGTAATGAGGAGATCTTAAGGTTCTCGAAGCTATTTGAAGACGAGTTGACTTTGGACAATCTAACCAGGCCTCAGTTGGTGGCACTTTGTAAATTGCTGGAACTTCAGTCAATTGGGACAAATAACTTTCTCCGCTTCCAGCTGACTATGAGGTTGAGAAGCATAAAAGCAGATGACAAAGTGAGTCATTCTAAAGAGGCACTGCTTAATAATTTTGTTGCCTAAGAGTAATGAGTGTGTGTGGATAACACATGTCTCTTTCTAGGAAATTTCCTTTTTTTGTCTCAGTTGTCTTATTTTTGAGCTAACTTGGAACATAAAAGCTTGAAGAGCTTCAAATCAGAAGTAAATTCGGAAAGAAAAAGGTGACCTTTTTTTAATCTGCCAATAATTACAATGAAAGTAATTATGTTACAAAGAAAAGCCTTTCTCTGAAAGTATAATTTATAAGGGAGCTGTTAGAAATACTGACTTAGAGACTGACATCACCTTTATGTAGCTGTTAAGACTACAGTATGATGCTTGAGCAAGTTGGATGTTGGAGCCGTTGGAGTAAAGCCGGAGAGGCCACCAGGATGATCGGGGGCTGGAGCACCTCCCGTATGAAGACAGGCTGAGAAAGTTGGGGCTGTTCAGCCTGGAGAAGAGAAGGCTGCGTGGAGACCTCATAGCAGCCTTCCAGTATTTGAAGGGGGACTACAGGGATGCTGAAGAGGGACTCTTTCATTAGGAACCATAGTGATAGTACAAGGTGTAATGGGTTAGAACTTAAACAGGGGAAGTTTAGATTGGATATAAGGAAGAAGTTCTTTACTGTAAGGGTGGTGAGGCACTGGAATGGGTTGCTGAAGGAAGTTGTGAATGCTCCATCCCTGGCAGTGTTCAAGGCCAGGTTGAACAGAGCCTTGGGTGCCGTGGTTTAGTGTGAGGTGTCCCTGCCCATGGCAGGGGGGTTGGAACTGGATGATCTTAAGGTCTTTTCCAACCCAACCCATTCTGTGATTCTATGTTCACTGTTTAAAAAGCGGAGGCTCTTTTGTGTTACCACAGCAGCCTCTAGTGGCCGTTGTAAAAATACGGACTCTGGGTGTTCACTGATGGTTCTTATATGTTAAGATTTGTTTCATTCTTTGCGCAGCTTATTGCTGAAGAAGGAGTTGACAGTCTGACTGTTAAAGAACTGCAGGCAGCTTGTCGTGCCCGAGGTATGAGAGCTCTTGGTGTGACACAAGAACGTCTCAAGGAACAGCTTAAACAGGTATGTTTTTGTAAGGCTGGATACGCAGTTTAACTTCAGTTGCTAGCTCCGATTTTTGTGATGGTTCTGAGAAGTCTTTTTGCTTCTGTTCTCATTAAAGGCTTGGCTAAACCAGTCTTTCTCCTTAGTAAGCTTTGTCGTTTGTACTGTGTAAGTAAGTAGTAGCAGTGGGCTTTTGACTGGGCCATGATGTTTTGATCATGCAAATAGATACTTATATGTTTGCAGTTTTGGCAGGTTTTGTTAATTATTTGTATTACCCTGTAAGGACTTTTCTCCAAGTAGATCAGTTCTCTGTCGTTTGGTGTTGTCTGCTTTAGAGGAAGATGCATGTAAAACAAAACACTTTTTTGAATATTCATTCAGCACTTTTTGAAATACTTCTTTAGGCAAAATACTTCATGTATTTAAATGCAATTACTGCAATTCTTAACTGTTTAGAGCCCATAGTTCTTGTGTCAGGATAGTGACTGATGCATAGTGGGTAAAGAAAAAAGTATTTACTACTTTGTGTGTGTTTCATTTGAGCTGTAAAGAAATAAAAACATCCAAAAGTTGCAGACTTGTTTTGTATATTGCATTTATAGTGGTTAGATCTCCACCTGAACCAGGAAATTCCTACTTCGTTGCTGATTTTATCCAGAGCCATGTATCTTCCTGATACCCTTTCTCCAGCTGATCAGCTCAAAACAACACTTCAGACACTACCAGAGAGTGCTGTAAGTATTAACATACATGGTCTGTAACCAGCTTTCAGTGTCATTGCTGAAAATCCATTCAGAGAAGTAGATGCTCTTCTTGGTTCCTGTCTTTTTGTTGAAAGCTGAACCATGGGTTGGTTTATTGGAGTGACTTTTGAACACAGAAGTTGGCTTATATGTGGAGGATTTTGAGAATAAAGCAAATAAAGGCAGTATTTGATTGCATGACTGTAGACAGTCATAGCATAAAAAGATTTAGCATACACTTTTTACTTACATAAGCAATTTATGCTCTGGTCAATATAAAGACATTAATACATGAAAATATTGATGATGTTGTGGAGAGAGAAATGATCTGAGTAGATAATTGGTAGTCTTGAGAGAAAGAGAATGAAGAGCATAAATGATTTCAGGGTAGAAAGTTCTTTTTTCAAAGAAATAGGGTAACTTTGGGGGTGGTTAGCTGTATTCAGCTGTATCAGCATACCTGTACTACCTATCTCAGTAACGATGTATAAACTTCTGACATAATGTAGACATATATGTATATACACAAATATAGACTTTAATAGACTTCTTCCATTATTTTTAGGCCAGAGAGGCTCAAGTCAAAGTGGCAGAAGTTGAAGGTGAAAAAGTAGATAACAAAGCACGTCTGGAAGCAACGCTTCAGGAGGAGGAAGCCATCAGAAAAGAAAATGAAGAAAAAGAAATGGAAAGATTGTCTGAAGCTGTAGAGAAAGCCAAAGAAACGCTTCAGGTTGCAGCTGTGGTAAGTTCTGCCCTCAACTATTGGGAAATATATGTCAGTGATATAAAAACTTGTATGTTGTGAGTTACTGCCTCTCTTCTGGGTGTTACCTGCATGAAACTGGACTTTAAATCCACATATGAAAGATGTGAGAGAATATTAAAATAGATTGCAACAGAGAAGGGTTCACTGTGGAACAAAAGATTGTCTCAGTCTTACATATGTTGGATTTTCCTTTCTTCTTTATTAGAGTAATAGAAGCCCTTTATTCGTCTAGCAAAGATGGTGGTTTTTTTTTGTTTATTTCCTCCACTTGTACTTCAGATGATCTTATCTTTTGCTTTTCCTATTTGACACTAACCTGGTAATGTCATTGTATAGTAGCTGACTCTAAAAGCTGCTGGCCTGCCTTACTAGTGAATTAAGCCTCCAGAGCTCACAGTCATAGTTCATGAAGTGCAAGTGGGTATTTAATGTGAAACCACTCAGTATGTTACAGTTTAACACTGTCTTCTCATGAAAGTACCCCAGTGTACTTTGGCAACTGTTCCTATTTTGAGAAGTTGTTCTTTACTGATGCTAATACAGATAATGTTATCTTTGTTTTAATTAAAACTTCACGGGTCTTTCAAATTCAGAAAGATGTGGAATCAGCAGCAGATCTTGAAGCAGCTACTCTGCAAGTTCAGAAAAGTCAGATAGCTGTGGATACTGAACAAGAACTGGCAAAGGCAGAGATGATGATGCACGCAGAGACACTGAAAGATACAGCACCGGTACTGGAAGGCATTAAGGTAATCTGGATAAATGTACTTTTTCATACTTTTTAATGTAAAGAATCAAAGTGTCCCTGTAAGAGCTGTGGTAAGTTGCTTGACTGTCTTTCACTTTTAATCCTCTCACCCCACTCTGTCACTTAAAACCAGCTAATAAGTAGATCACAAATTCTTAACCACCAGTACAGAAATTGACATCAGCACAAAACATCTCTTGGTGTTTCCTTTTATCTTTCTGTGTTACTGAAAATAACATGCCTGTCTAGGGGGACATTTGTACTGGCTGTAGATGTAATAGATCTATGCGTGTTTAATCTGTGTATAGTTAACATTCCTGACACTGTCCCGTAACATCTTCATAGGTGAGCTTAGGAAATGTGGGTTAGATGAATGGACAGTGAGGTGGATCAAAAACTGGCTGAATGGCAGAGTTCAGAGGATCATGATCAGAGAGTATAATCAAGTTAGAGGCCTGTAGTCACTGGTGCTCCCCAGGTATCCATACTGGGTCCAGTCTTACACAACTTGTTTATCAGTGACCTGGATAAAGGGCCGGAGTGTCCCCTCAGCAGGTTTGCTGATGATATGAGACTGGGGATAGTGGCTGATACACCTGGAGAAGGTGCTGCCATTCAGCTGGACCTCAATAGGCAGGAGAATTGGGCAGAGAAACCTAATGAAGTTCAACAAGGGCAAGCGTAGGGTACTGCATCTGGGGAGGAAGAACCCCAAGCACCAGTGCAGGCTGGGGATGACCTGCTAGAGAGCAGTTCAGGTAAGAAGGACCTGGGAGTATTGGTGGATGACAAGTTGACTATGAGCCAGCAGTGTGCCCTTGTGACCAGGAGGGACAACAGTATCCTGGGGTGTACTGGGAGGAGTGTGGCAGCAGTTGAGGGAGGTGATCCTCCCCATGTACTCAACCCTTGTGAAGCCACATCTGGAGTCTTGTGTCCAGTTCTGGGCTCCTCAGTACAAGAAAGACAAGGAGCTACTGGAGAGGGTCCAGCAGACGACCATAAGGATGATCAGGGGTCTGGAGCATTGCTGTTATGAGGAGAGATTGTGGGAGCTGGGTCTTTTTAGCCTGGAGAAGAGGAAACAGAGAGGGAATCTCATGAATGCATATAAATATTTCCAAGACGGGTGCCAGGAGGATGGTGCGAGACTCTTTTCAGTGGGTGCCCAGCTACAGGAGGAGGAGCAATGGCCATAAACTAAAACACAAGAAGTTTCACCTCAACGTGAGGAAGAACCTCTTTACATTGAGAGTGACAGACCACTGGAACTGTCTGCCCAGGGGGGTTGTGGAGTCTCCCTCTCTGGAGACATTCAGAACCCACCTGGACATATTCCTGTGTAACCTGCTCTGGGTGGCCCTGCCTTGGCAGGGGGTTGGACTGGATGATCTCCAGAGGTCCCTTCCAACCCTAGCGATTCTGTGAAAATCACCAATGTGTCTCTCACTAATTTATATGTATTTTCTGTTACAGGGTGAGGAAATCACTAAGGAAGAGATTGACATGCTGAATGATGCTTGCGCCAAGCTGCAGGAACAGAAAAAATCATTAACAAAGGAAAAAGAGGAGCTTGAGGAATTGAAGGGTGATATCCAGGAATACAATGAGGTGAAGAATGGGGCGTGGAAGTTCTTTTTTTTGTTATTTCTGGTCATGTTTAGTTTTAGTATAAAGGATTTACACATTTAAAGATGATCTTGCTTGGATGTCTGGGAGCCTGTAGTTAGTAGCCGAGTGAATGAACTTTGTATGGGACAACGTAGAGCCTCATTTGTATAACATGTTTAAAGCCTAGTTAAAGTAATTTGAGTAGTTCCCACCAGATGAGAATCCTGTTCCTGCTTGTGTTCCCAGGGTGGCTAGGCTTAACAGGTGCTGTATGCTGCAGTCCTGTCTTATCAAACATAGATGTCATTATTACAGGTACTTCAAGTTAAGTAAGATGAATCTTACCCAACCTTAAGAAAGAGGTGGAAAATAACATTTAAGGGGTACATGAAAAAGGTGGCATTGCTAAAAGTCATTGTTCTGATTCCAGTTTGGCTTTATAGGTCTATACATTTGCATTTCATTTACAAATAGCTCCTGTCTTGAAATTCTAGTCAAAGTCAATAGTGTCTGTTGTTGAGAATTTACCCTGACAAAAGTGTTTCTCTCTCCTGACCATTTCTTTTAGGATTTACAAGAGATAAAAGAGCTCTCTAAAACTGGCCAGGAAGAGGCAGTGGAAGAGTCAAAGGCAAGCAAGAGATTGACCAAGAGGGTGAACAGAATGATTGGTCAGATAGACAAAATTATCAATGAATTAGAGACAGCTCAAAAGACGGTGGATGTACGACTGCAAGGTGCTGATGGTCCTCCTGCTGGGTAAGTGACTCGAGAGCACTGAATGTGTCTTTAAGTGTTCATTCTTGGTTTTGTCAAATGTGTGACTAGAAGAGAATTAGAGAGTGAGTTGTTGTTTAGAATGTTAAGATAATTTATTTTAGAAATAAACAAAATTGTGCTGTAGATTTTCTCTCTTCTAAGGTATGTTAGATATGATTGAAATGAAGAAGGAAAGGAGCAGGTGTTATTCCCCAGATGCCAGTCCTGAGGGGTTCTAAATGTCAGTGTTGATGAGTATCTTACCATCCTGTTCACACCTCTAGCCCTAATGGTGGTGCAGGTGAAATCATATCTTTAGTCATGCTCCTCACGCAGTAGGTTTGCCCTGTGTGATGAAATGAAAAGGCACACAGCACTGCGGTGAGCACATTCGTGTTTGTTCTTTAGCAGTGAAAGTGACAGTGAGGAAAACTATTGCAGTAAAGTCTGTTCTGTATCTGGAGAGAAATAAAGGAATAGGTCTAATTGGAGTAAGGAGATAATTTTATGTAGTCCCTTTCTGACAATTTGCTTCATTTCGACTTTAATACACTTGCAGCTTTATGAAGAGAGATCTTGAGTGATAACTTCATTGCAAAATGCATTTATCAACAATTTAACGTTACTGGAGAGTCTTTCAGGCATTCACGTTGAAGGGTCATATGTTGCATCTTACAGGCACTGAAATACTTAAACACTGTGACTGTAATTCTCAGAGTTTGTGCTTATGAATGCTATGTTCATCTAGTTTATGCTTGCACCATTTTATGTGATTCCTTAGGAGAGCTTCCCAGCTCCCACAGAGCATTCCTAAACAGGAAATATGGATTCTGCTTTTGGTGCTTTTAAACTTTGGGGATTTTTTTCAGTCTCCAGAGCAAATGGTCATTTGTTTCAAATGTTAAGACTAAGGCAGTTATAGGAATGGTGCTACAGGAAAGTTTTGATCAAAACTATCCAAGTTAGTGAATTTAAAATACAATATAAAATCTGCTTGTACTGACTGTAATTATACTTTATGTAATGGATGGGTTTGTGGATAATTTCTTTATGTGATTGTGGATGACTGAAGATCAGTAGTTTAAAGATTGCTTAGTTATTGAAGGCTTGGATTTTAAATTTCAAGTTAGTGCATCACCAAGCCATTGAGAGCCATAGAAACAACACAAGTCCAGAACATTTAGTGGCAGCTTAGAAATGCTCCTGGCGTAAAAGTCAGTCTGTGCCCAGAGGTTAGGACGCAGTATGGAGCTAGGACTATACTGATAAAGCCCTCTTGTTTTGTATTTGCTGGGTTCACTGTCTCCTGCATTTCAGCTTGAGCTGTGCTGGAAGATGGTTCTTCAAATTAACAAAACTACATAGGCAAGCAGAGGTTTTAGGTGGCAGAATACCGACAGTTTTAGCTTCATGAGATCAGTAAGCAGACAGTGGAAACGTCTGAAACCTGCTATTCACAATGTCAAGTTTAGTCCTTTCTTCTAAAAAGTCTATTCCTTGATAAGAGCTAATGAAGTCTATTAAAACAAAAGAGCTGAATTGCTGAATCAGTAGTTCTCAGCTTTTGTTTTCCTGTGACTTGCATTTATTTTTTGTAGGCCAGCCTCTCAATCTAGAAGGATGGCAGGTGCACGGCACTGCACCTTTATTAAATGGGGCAGGGGGCTGAAAAGACATTAGATGCACAGAAACTGTGCTAAACTTAATTTCACATGACTACTGCATACCTGTATTTGTGCAATAAAGCTTGAGGAAACCAAAAGAATGAGATTTGATGGTAAGCTGCAGATTCATTGGAAATTTGTTTGGTGTTCAGTAACTCATTTTTGCTGGTTTGCATTGTGTTCAGGATTCTAAAGAAATAATGTTTTTACTAATCACCTGCCGTGTAGTGACTTTCAGTACTGTTTTTTGTCAACTTTGCTCCTTTGGAGTAACTGCTTGCCATGTACAGACTGTGCTTGCTCTACAGGGAGAATCTCGTCAGTATTGCTGAGCTAATTAATGTGATGAGGCAAATTCAGAAGATTCCAGAGGAGAAGCTGACCAGGATTGCGGAGACACTAGATGAAAACAAGGATGGCAAAATTGATATCAATAATGTTGTTAAGGTAAGTCTATGGACTACTTGAAGAAAATCAGGCCAGTCATCCTTCAGATGTTATACCTGTTTTGACTGAAATTCATATTGCTGTCTTTGGCATGAGTGATGCCAATGAGGTTTTTGGTGATGTGCTGTAAATAGATCTTATAATACATCTTCAGAATTTATATGGCTATTTGGAAGGAGAGGCAGAGGGGAAGAATAATCTTTATGCTGTGTGTGTTACCCATGTTACCTTTAAAGCTGTAGGTTTTTCTGTATGCCTATGTCAAGTTCTGTAAAATATGGGAATTTTGTTGGGCTGCTTATGAATCAGAGGGAGGATGGGAAGGAGCTTTATAAGAACTACTTTAGGAATATCACTATTAGCCACAGTCTTGACATCAGTTATCCTTTGGGATGACTGTAAATGACCTATGTTCTTTGCATGATTTGTTGTGTTTTCTTATTTTGCAGAACATCTTAGGTTTTCTTTGCATTTCTCCTTCATTTTTTGTTTCTTTTTTTAGAGATGCCCTAAAACTTCCTTGAAAGTAATTTTCCTATTCAATACAGAAATAGCACTTAAACTATGGCCAGCTAGAAAATACGGTATCAACCTTTTGATACACATTTTTCCTTTCTACTGAAGGTGTCCCAGTGGTGATTATCTTCTCTGTTGCTCTAAACAGCTGTTGTACATTTAGCAACATAGGTACTATTCAGTGCTGCATGTAATACAGAATAATTGTGGGAACTTGAGAAGCTGTGCCAAGAATACATTTGTACAAAAACCTTTACAAAGGAATTTGGAATCAAAGGAATTTGGAATCACCTACTAAGTTCAAGATCATTTGCTTTAAGTTTTGGTTTTTTTTAAACTGGAGATATTTGAGGCCCTGGTTGTGGTTTAAATTTGTGTTGCATGTAAGAAAGCAATGCAGTATTTCTTGAACATGAGAAAAGTGAATGCTTTCTTGTCTTAACAGAATTTATAACGAGAAAATGTCTCAATCATGTAAAAACTAAATGCACTCTCAATTTCGTTTTGTGTTCGTTGTAGGTAGTAGAACTGATTGACAAAGAAGATATTGATATTGGCACCGCACAGGTTGCTGAGATTATGGCACTGCTTCAGAAAGAAGAAAAACTGGAAGAGAAAGAGAAAGCAAAGGAAAAGCAGGATAAAGAACCTGTGGAAGTAAAGAATTAAGCTTCAGAATCTGAAGCTAACCCCAAATGTAACCAAAACCTTGTATATCTTTCTGTGTCTAATGGCTATATATTACTTGAGCTTTGTGATTATGGGAAATGTTTTAAGCTGATCCTAGTAATAAATCATAGATATGTTTTCTGACCTATGGAATGAAATTTCCGTTAATCAGAGAAGTGATTCACTGTCATTCCATACAGATGAAAACAAAGTACGCTTTTTAGCAGTGCTCCTGCCCACAAAAATCATGTATTTGCACTCATTGTTGTGGTACAGTGATCCATTAAACTTGCAAGTTTGCTGTATAAATTAAGTGTATCTGTCATGGAAAAAATGTTTCTCATTTAGTTTGTTTCATCGTTACATGGGGCCCAACCTTGCTCTGCTTCTACCTTTTAGCTTTTTCAGGATTTAATACAAACTTCCCCTTCCGTCACAGTATTGCATACTTTGTAACCTGTTAATGAAGAGTCTGTGGCTTCAGTAGCAGCTCTTTAGATTGAGTTCTGTTAAAAGCTAAATATCACTCAGCTGTTGCCTCACTGACAGAGAATGTGGCATTCTGATCACTTCTGTGAATTCATGAATGTTGTTTTCTTTTTTCTGTTGAAGGGGAAATCAGATTTCTTTTTCCCTAGAATGGAAACTTCCCATGAAGTTTGCTTCTTACGGGTGCCTTAAATTTCTTAAGACTAGGGAATAGAGCATGTCACTTCTGCTCAAAATTCCATGAATTACTTAAGCATTGGAATCACAGGAGCCTTTCAGACAATTCCGGAACAGAATCTGTCACACAGTAAAGCGAGTTAAAGTGTTTGTCTGAATAACAAAATGAAAATAATTGTAAGGGGAAAACGTCAGTTGTGATCTTTTTGAGTATATTCTTTTAAAATGCGTTTATCTTGGCATGTGTGCTTGTTTTTCATCTAATAATTATTTACATCAGCTCTCTTACCTCTTAGTTTTCATCTCAGGTATAAAATAACTAGCCAGGTATAGTAAAAGTTCATAAATACTTTCATCTCATGGCCTCGCTTTCTGTGCAGTCAGCAAGTCATGTCTGGTATTGCCAGTGCTCTGATTACATCATTGGCTTTCAAATCAATTGGTTATAGTTACTGTTTTTAACTGTGTGGTTAAATACTGACAGTAAGTAAAGGTTTACTCATTAATGTCTGTCCTTAATAGTAAATTTTGACGTTTAAAATGCCAGTTCTGGGTTGTTCCATAATTCCTGGTAGGCTAAATTTTCCACTCTTCCTTAAAATCTGTTATGAAGCACACCCAGTGTGACTTGAACCAGCAGGGTTGTGATTTGGTTTTCTGTTCTGTTTTTATTTTGCGCCCAGTATTTACAAAATATATGACCAGTGTTCATTTTGTGGACACTGTGGAGAGCACATCTTACAATGGCACTGTTCACAGTGATACTGAGGTGGGCAGTTAGTACTTGGTGCTTTTAGTCATAGGTGCATATAGTCGTAGAAAATGTTGACTCCCAAGCATCTTTCAGCATAATTCCATGTTCAATATTTCTCTAGATTGGCTAAATTATTTGTAAAAACTTAATTTGAAGTTAGTGGAACAAAAGGAAGTTTTGACAGTCTCATGGCTTGCATGATGGACCACTGTATTTAGTTGTTTCCAAAGCGAGATGTACAGGTCAGTGTTTAGTTCAAGTATTGAGTTAATATTCTGTGCAGTTTGCAGAGCAAGCTGCTTGCAATAAGTAAGATCCTCCTGAGAATTACTGTAATTGTATCTGAAGTGTAAAATTGCTGTGACAAAGCTGAAATTTCACATCAGTACAAACCTTTGCCCTAAACAAGGGGCTGTTCTCTTCCTTGCAAATTGAGATTAACTTGGAGATTTCAGCATGAAAGACAGTTTGTAGATTGTGAAGATAGGACTTCACTAGGTGCTGTGTGAAAAACACAACTTTGCTTAGACAAAAAGAGTAAAGCTAATTTCACAAAAACCGGATTTAAAACCTAATTTTATATTGTATAATTTATCATTAGAATTCATGGGCTTTGAAGCATGCTAAATTCTGCAGTTGTGTGTCTTCAATTTGAAAGCAATACATAAAAATCTTACTTGACATTCCTGCAACACAATAAAAATACTCTAGAATTGTCTGCAACCTTCCATGGAATATCAGAAACCTAAGAGTCGTATGTGCTTGAATGCACGCAATTTAAATAAGAAAGTAGCAGAAAAAGCTGTTTTCAGAGATTTTCTTTCTTTTTTGATTAAAAGTTTTGCAGAGCTTTAACTGTCCTTACAGTAAATTACTTGATTTTAGGATATGGGAGTTCAGGACTTTTTTTCTGCTGTTCTTTTTCTGTGTTTACTGTTCATTTAAATTTCCTGTGGATTAAATAAGAAGCGAGCGAAAAATAGCTTTTTTTTTTTCTTTTTAAGTGAAGAATGTCCTCATTAAAGTAATTGTGATTCATTTATTACACATTTTTAGCTTTCAGACTTGTTTGCGGTTGGGCATCTTGGGCAATTTTTAACAGGTTACATGAAATGCATTTTAATGTCAATCACAGGTGGCAGTTTTCCCCTGATACCCAAAGCGTTTAGAGGGATGTACGCAACAACCATAGCAAATATCTTCCTTCTGATGCTGAAAGCAGGCAAACCCATGACAGCTGGACTTGAGCTTCAACACATTCTGCAAGCTTAAAGCAGTGATTCATGCTTCCCTAGGTTTGAACCGTCCCGAGCAGCTCTGCCCAGGTGCTACAGACAGCTCCAGCTTGAGGACTAGCTGCAGCTAACATGCTTTGTCATCCCTTGTGGTGACCAAAAGCCCAGAACCTGCAGTACTTTCAGGGAAAGGATGACCTCCGAGTGTACACTAACTGGTCAAAACATGTTTCGTGAAGGAATATTTAATTGGGAGTTGTAAATATTTGTTTAAATAATTAAAAGGATGTGAGAGATTTCGGTGACCTTGTGACTTACACAGGCAAAGCCTCTAAGCTCAGAGTGAGGTAAGCGGTAGGACCAGTGTTGGGGTTGTGTCAGATTCAATAAGATGAGATTTTGATTATAAATTATTTGAGGGTAAAAATACAGAACATTTAAAAAGCTTTTTAAAAACTCTTTAGCAACAGGGAAGAGAAGTAAAAAATGATGCAATTTATTTTCCCTCTCCAAGCAAGCAGGTTATAGGACTTATTTTATTGGAAAACTTGTTTCCATTTCATGTAAGCTCAAAACATAGTTTTTACTGAGATTTCCATCACTATCTGCATGCTGGAAGAGTGCATCTGCCTGCAGATTAAGTACCAGGAAGCTAAATCAATAGGTGGTGTTTGTCAGGAGGAGTGCATGCAGGTAGAGATTAATCTTTTGACAGGATAGTTGGTACCTTGCACTTAAATAGGCTTTGTCTGGGGGAAAGAGTTACACCTTTTATACAACGCCAAAATACTTCTTGTAACTTTCTATCTACATACCTTGCTAGCCATTTAAACTTCAGCATGTATTTAAATACTTTTAAAGTGTTTATATCAGATTATTGGGTATATTTAAATAAAATAATAATCCCATATTCTGTTCTTCGTATGTAATCCAAATTCTGCCTTTCAGTTGAAGAATTTCGGCCCGTGTTACAGATTTAAGTTGAAAATCATTTGTCTGTGCTCTGAGCATACTGGTCCTGTGTTTGCCATAATGCACTATAAATTTTTTAAGTTAATTTGGAGCTTGTGTCCTTTGTTTAGTTATAATAAATGTATCATTTTGAAACCTAATCTCTCCATTATTTTTCTGTTGCTTTTGATTATTCAGTGTGAATTTACTGCTGTTCAGATGAGATGCCAGTCACGGAGATGGACACTGATGACTGCTGAAACTGAAATGTTTGGGGTAGAAGAGGGCAAGTGAATGACAAGTCTTTAAACTGGGGTGGGGTGTGTTTTGTGGGAATTAGATGTTAATTCTTGCCGAAATTCCCTTGATGTGGGACTGCTTGCCTGGTGTCATGAGTTGTGCTAAGATATTCTTACTAACTATTGTATTGTAGGTATGAAAGTGGGGAGCAGTGTGCTGCTTATTTCTTCTACACTTTCCATTAGACCAGGTTGCTTCAAGCCATGTCCAACCTGGCCTTGAACACTGCCAGGGATGGGGCAGCCACAGCTTCTTTGGGCACCCTGTGCCAGTGCCTCAACACCCTCACAGGGAAGAACTGTGTCAGTGTTCAAGGCCAGGTTGGATGGGCTTGGAGCAACCTGCTCTAGTGGAAGGTGTCCCTGCCTGTGGCAGGGGGTTGGAATGGGATGAGTTTAAGGTGCCTTCGAACCCAAACCATTCTAGGCTTCTGTGATTCTTTTACATCAGACTGGTAATATAGACATGCAGAAAGCTGGTTGGAAAAGCCTCTGCCTTCATGAAATTATGATCTTAGAAGTATTAATATAGATAGAGTTTTGTTGCAAACTCTTTTAGTACAATGTCATTTAAAGGATGAATACATATGCGCAGCGGCGGGGGAGAGATGGATAGCCTTGTGGTTGTTTCATTGACCCGAGGCTTGAGAAGTCTGTTCAGTTAGTGCCTATTCTTTCAGTGATACATTGCTTGGCTCTTGGGTCACTGTAACATAAAACCTCCTTGACAGTGGCTGGGTGGATGACAAGTTCCCCAGAACAGAGTCTCTCCGTGCAAGGACCTAATATAGCATTTTGTAGCGATAAGGCTTTTAAATACTGAGTGCAGACAGTGACACAACCATACCAAACACTTTGTGTTTCTGGTATTTTTCTGAGTTATTTCTCAATGCTGATGCGAGCAGGAGGATGTTTGTAGTGTGTTTCTAATTCCCTGTACTCTCTGCTCACTTCCATTTTTGTGTATTATTGGATATAAATCTTCCTCAGTAGTTAAATATCCTTCACAGGTCAAAATTCTTTGGGGGCTCATTAGCATGTAAAATTTTACCCTTGCCAAACCTTCTGTGGTTTTCAAACATCAGTTTCATCTCACTGGCGTAAGGATTTCTGCTATGCAAGAGATGGATCTAACTCAGATTTGCCTCCTTCCGTCTAGTATTTCTCTTTATGTATATTGGCAGAGCAGACCCCTTCATGAATGGCCTGATTTATGTCTCAGGGAATGCTGCAGTCAGTAGTTCAAGATGTCAGGTCTCCCGTGCGTGCTGTGGATTCTCCCTCCCCCTCCTTTTGTCTTAGCTCCAGCCCCAGAGCCATCCAAGTTCCTTCCTAGTGTTTTCTGATTTCAGATCCTTGGTTGAGTAAGATCTTCAGAATTCATCCTAAGGAAAGCTGCTGCAAGGAGCTGAAGAGCAACTGGGACATGAGTAATAATAATGCTAATAATAGAAGCCTCTGAAGGGTCTTACTAAATGAAGATGGGCATTAACAACCTGTTATGCAGAAAACCTGGGATCTCTGCAGTCACTCCAGACTTGTAAATGCAAGATTTCTGTTCCCCCATCCCCGTATCTGTTTAATCAGGGAATATATACCCAAGTAGTAAGTAAATCAGCAGGTTTTTCTTCTCCATCCTTCCTGTCCCCAGCCTTTCCCTTTTCTCTCTCCCCTACTTAACATGCAGGACTAAGTAGGAAAGATTTATGGGGTCCTTGTTGCACTTTACAGTTTCTCAGTGCCTTGCTTTGCATTGGTGGATGTAGAGTTGAAATATAGTGACTGTTAATCTTTCCAGTGAACGTCTCTTCACTAGATGGTTTTCAGTGCTCGGTCTATGTAAACTCAGCCATTAGCAGCCTTCATCAAGCTCAGCTCTTGCCTTCCTCTGTATGACCACATGAGCTCACTGTGGTCCCTGTGCAACCTCTGCATGCAATGCTCCTAAGAGCAGAATGCTTTTATCCTTCCCTTTGAATCCTGTGTACACTTATCAGGGGGATCTGTGTATGCCCTTCCATAAGCTACATTTCAGATGAAAATATGTTCTTAGGATGAGTCTTCAAAATCCAGAGTGACATTGAGAAAAAGGGATGCACATCCTTATTTTTAACCTCTCTTCTGCAGCCAGAGTTACCCATCCAAATTCTGTGGTTAAACTAGTACTGTGGTCCCTTAGTGACTCAGTACGATTTCATTTGAGGTGTACCTAAACTGCATGGGTCACCCTTTTCCCCAAAATGGGTGGATACAGAGTCCTTTGTACTCACGCTGAAAATGAGATCCTTAAGGGTATATAGGTTTTGGACTTGCAAATTCAAGAATTGACTGATGTCAACCCAAAAAACCCTCATCAAATGAATGATGGAGGAGGAAGCATTAACAAAAACCCCTTATTTGTATCTCCTTAATACCTTTGTGCTCAACAGAAATCTGATGTGGAGAATAGCTTGTCCAGTCAGGCTCCTACAGGATGCATAGCAGTGAATGGAAATAATAGAACAGGGCGATTTAATGGTGTTAGCATTTTGGCTGTACTTTCTTCCCTGTTTGCCCTTGAGTGAACAGGATACTCTAGTATTTTAGTTTTGTGAATACGAGCACACTCTCAGTCAAGAGAAGTACAGCATGGTGTACCACCACGCTTGATACTCTTACTGAAGTCCTTGCTGGAACTTGGGCACTTCAAGGAAGCAGGGTAAAGTCTTTTAAATCTATCTGTCTATCTATCTATCTATATCTATCTATCTATCTATCTATCTA